ATACAGTTGAAACACATTTTCAGATGTATAATAATGTTCATTTAGGGATACAATGGATCTCAGATATGGGATGTGACCTTAGCGGTCCAAGCAATCTTGGCGACAAATTTGGTTGATGAATATGGCTTGATGCTTAAGAGAGCTCATAACTACATCAAGAACACTCAAGTAGTTTCTTCACTTAACCCTATTGATCCGTGATCTAAATATTTAACTCATCTAGTGATTTCTGACTTGAAACAGATAAGGAGAAACACGTGTGGAGATCCGGGGTTGTGGTACCGACACCCGAGCAAGGGAGGATGGGGTTTCTCCACTGGAGACAATCCATGGCCTGTCTCTGACTGTACAGCTGAAGCCTTGAAGGTTACTGAACTAACTCTGCAACTTTTACAAGATTTTCTTTCTCTCATTTCCTCATTTTCTTTTGTTTTCCGTGTTGTAGGCAGCATTGCTACTTTCGCAGATTCCCGTTAATCTAGTTGGAGAAGCCATGCCTGATGAGCATTTATTTGATGCTGTTAACTTTATCTTATCATTACAGGTATATATATTTCTCACCAAATGTCTCTTCAATTAATATATATACGATTTGTATCATACATTTGCTATAACTTTACTTCTTCCAGAACAAAAATGGCGGATTTGCCACCTACGAGCTTACTAGATCATATCCTTGGCTAGAGGTTTAACCATATATCTTCCTTATTATTATGCTCATGTTCCAGCCAAATACGAGTGGAGTTTGATTTTTCATTTGGTGTTTATCAGGTGATCAATCCATCAGAGACTTTTGGAGATATCATCATAGATTATCAGTAAGATGATAACTAGTACTATTACCTGAATAAGTCCATTTTCTACAACAACTTTTTGTTGTTGACAAAGGCTGAAAAATCCACAGATACGTAGAATGCACGTCAGCTGCAATCCAAGGTCTGGTTCTATTCACAAGAACCAATCTAAATTACAAGAGGAAAGAGATACTGAGATGTATCAAGAAAGCAGTTGAGTTTATTGAGAAAACTCAGCTTCCTGATGGTTCTTGGTCAGTATATAAAGTCTTTACTTTCATTACATGTTGTGATTTCCCCAAACGGTAAGCTGATAAACATTTGTAGGTATGGCTCGTGGGGAGTTTGCTTCACATACGCGACATGGTTTGGGATTAAAGGCTTGTTGGCTGCTGGCAAAACATATGAGACTAGTGTTTGTATCATAAAAGCTTGTGATTTCTTACTCTCCAAACAACTTTCTTGTGGTGGTTGGGGAGAGAGTTACCTCTCATGCCAAAACAAAGTATACACAAATCTTCCCGGGAACAGATCGCATATCGTCAACACATCATGGGCGGTTCTAGCTCTAATTGAAGCAGGACAGGTTAGAGATTCAGCTTTTTTTGATTTAGCAATTGAGATGCAAGTGGGTTTACTTATGAACTTAACCCATGATTTGGTTTGATTAGGCTAGTAGAGACCCTATGCCATTGCACCGCGGGGCAAAATCGCTGATTAATTCACAGATGGAAGATGGAGATTATCCACAACAGGTGAGTTAAAATGGTTTATAATATTTGATTAATTCATAGACAGGTTTTTTCTTCACCAACTTGATTAGTAATATTTGGTTCTTCCTTTTTTTGACACAGGAGATATTGGGAGTCTTTAATCGAAATTGTATGATCAGTTACTCAGCTTATAGAAACATATTCCCCATTTGGGCTCTAGGAGAATACCGCAATCTCTTACTGTCTTCGTCTGTATGATCTATCATTGTTTCTTAGTTTGTTTAACTCCTTTCTTAATAATTTGTTCATATTATATTGTGAAGTAAAATTGTAGTTTCTCCTCTTATTTTATTTTCTTTTAAAACAGTTTTGACGAAACCTATTTGATTAGAAGCAACAGAGTGAATAACAGTTTTGTAGTTTTCAAAATCTTTTATTTCTTGCCACACAAGGCAAGATCCTTCTTGAAGGGTCTGAAATTCAAAGCATTGAGTCCATACACACAGAGATTAGACCTTTTAGACTTAAACATGACTTGATCAGTCAAGAACATTGCAGAGGAGGAGCTTCTTCTTCTTCCGACCAAACTCGCTCGACAAGAAGTCGCAAGATTGTCCACTTCAGTACAATCTAGAGAAGTTATGGTTACCTTGTAGAGTCCGAACCGTTAGTGGTTCTGTTTGCAGAGAATGTGATCGTCTCTCTTGTTCTTGACGACGCTGCTTTGAATCTGCAGATTATTTTGATGTGTGTCAAATTATATTTATACCTAAACCTAGCTAGCAACACACTCTAGTTGTTGTAGCATAGTATAGGGTCGAACCAATGGAGATTAGAATAGCACACTAAGAATGCAAGTAATTTACTAAGCTAAAACAATGATGTTTTTTTGTGATTTTTGAAATCTTAATTATGCAACTAAGTGATATAAGCAAAATGCAAATGCTAAAGGAAGATTAACAAGACTAAAATACTAAAAAGAAACTAAACAAGACTAATGCGAAACATAATCAAGTTTAAA